CTTCAGTTTGACAAATTTAAGGCAGCGAAGTTGACTAATGAATGGTATTTAAAACAAATGGTATTTTGGGTTTGTACAACTGATAATACTATTCCCAGGGGTACTGAAGCATGACAGCTCACAGTGATTTGGACAGCAAATTGCAATATGCCTATCCAGCTGCATATAGGTGTACATACTTAAGAAACAATGACAGGTGCTATGTTCCACATTTATTGTTTTAAGTAGTTGGGCAGTTGTTTGTATAACTAATAGCCCACTCAAATTTAAAGATTTGATGGGACCACTGCCATGTTTTATAGCAAATATGCATTCCATTTTAATGCCGATATCTACAAAAGTCAACAATGCAATATGAAAATACCGTTTCACCTTGCTGAAAAATGATCTGAATCTCTCTCATGAAGATCTAAGCCATGTCTTTGAGATGCTGTAAATCAGTGTACTGATAAGAACTCATCTTGGTCACTTATAGCAGCACACTGCATATGTCTCTATGAGACCTTGCTATCACCATTGGACTACTGGAGAGCTTCCAAATTGATCCAACTCTAATACTTTGTTCAAGATACCAGGCTAGACCTGAAAATATATAACATGTTTCACTTAATTCTAAAAAAGGAAGATGTAGGCAAATGAAGTTAAATTGTGTTAGATATAGTGATTTCAAAATAACATTCATCTGGTAAACTTGACAGAGTGACACTCAAAGATGTGAAGCACTGGGCATGTATTAAAGTGATATATGCATCCTAAAAATACATGAAGTTTCTACAAGCATATTTAGCCATTTACATGTTAAATACCTAATCAGACAGAGTATGTATCATAAAGTTTAAGGCAATGTTGGAACGGTGAGGTTTGATCATTGGTGCAAACATTGATACATACCAGTATAGTGGAAAGTCAAATGACAATGTACCAAATTAAAATTTATTACTATATGCAATCCTATTCATGAAGGAAAAACAATTTTAAATATTGTGAGTGAATATAGCAAAATGTGGCCACACAGATCAACTATAGGTACCAATAGATCCTATATCATCAACTAAATGTGAAATTTGCATCCCGAAAACTTGTAAACAAGGATGGATATTTGCATGTGTGGGAGATATGCAATGTACTTATTAAAATCACATGTGCAAACATGATTCAAATAATCTGTTTGAACATTTTTAGTCTATTTTTAAGAGTCTTGGCTACCAAGTTATTAAGTGCAATGATTCAATGATTCAATAGAATCAGATATCAGCTGATGTTGCAATACCGCCCTCTGTCAAAGTACTAAATTGAAATGTGTTACCATACAGAGGCATATTCATGATGAAAATAACATCTTGGGATATTTTAAGTGCACACAGTCAAAACTGAGCCTTACAGATTCACTATAGGTACTATGTCAGCCTAACAATGTCAACTTTTGATTCCAAACATTACAAAATATATGCATATTTGTTCATGTCAGCTATGTAACCATGTTAGAATCAGTTGTAGAAAGCTAAATTCAATTAATCTGTTTGAATATTACTTATGTAATCTTTAAAGTGTCAGATAACAAATATTATTAGTCATTAATAATGCATAAAGCAAAATGGATCATGAGAATTCCCATAATATCATCTGGGCCACAATGCCGCACTACATCAATCAACATCTTAAAGAAACTGAACAATAAAATGGAATGCATTCTGTGTTCAATTTACATCATTTTGCTGTTTTCTTACATGCAATGGTAAATATACCTGGTTAAAGTATATTTTACCCCTCTGACCTGTATTTCATTCTCTGACAGCTTAATATGATTTTGTAGAGAACTTGAACAGGTTCTAGTATAAAGTCTTCATCTCTGTCCTCTCACTAAATACCCTATAACTATGTTTATAAACAATTACTGATAGCTATACAAGCAGATATGTGTTACTGGGGAAGTCACCCTATCATAAACACATAAATTAACTGTTTGAAACCCAAATAAATAGTTTCAATGACCTAAAGGTACAAAGCAAAATAGAATTTTGTCTTCATGTATTTTAAATGAGGGTCTCATTTTGACTAATAAAGATATTTTCTCTAATCAAATTTGACAAATATCCATCATTTGAGCTTGTATATGGTGTAGGAGTATATATATGCTGATATCATTTAATATCATTCCAAAAAATATTATATATATGTATACTTGGTGGAAAATTTTTATATTTTAATTGTTTTTTAAATTTCATTTAAATTTTAAAATTAAAATCATTTTTTTTATTTTTAATTTCATTTTTATATTTTTAAAGTCAATATACATAACATTAAAATTTCATGTGTATGTCATTAATAATAAAATTTTTATATCAGTTTCAAGTTTTTACTGACAGGCCTTAGAACATAATTAATTTCACTATATTGTCTCTACATTTGTTTCTCAATACTGAACTTTCCACTGTGTGACAATCAATACAAATCATATGTTAATCTAAAATACCTTCAAAGATGACTTTACGATTTAGTTCTTGTCAAGGGTTGACCAGCATTTTTTTTGAGAGGCTGAATTGTAAACAAAACACCAGGCAACGGAACACAGATTTCACTTCCGGATCATCACCATGACCTTATTACTCAATGTGCACTGTCGCCAAAATACACACAGACAACCACACCATAAACTCACATTTTAAAGAATAAACAATTGCCTTTAAATCCTTACCAAGAATGCCAAAAGCTAACTCTAGTATTACCACCAATTTCAGACAGGAAAAAGTGATCTAAAAATAGACTGAGACTACATTCGTGGGTACTAAACCGGATTTTATTGATTGTGTACTGATTCCAGCATCTATATAGTTGATGACTATACCATTTCCTATGTCTCGTGGCTATCCCTCAAAAATTGTGGGACTAGTTGCGCTAACGAGTTTCGGACGGAAAAACAGACGGGCAGACAGACACAAAGATTTAATATATACTTCCGACTCTATGTACAGGTGCGTGGGGGGTATATAAAATTTATTAATTAGCTCTTTGATAGAATCAAATTTTCTGTAGCTTACTAGTATTGATTGTATCAAGTTAGAACATTTCCGAACCTATAAAATCTCTTCAAACAGAAAACTTTAAAAGAACACTTGCAAAGAACGAAAGTATATAGGTATACAGTCAAAATCATAAATTAAATTGTCATATATCTGAAACCTTGTAATTTGTGCTAAACAAACAACTCTAAAATGCAATTGCTAAACAAATTAAAAACTGAACACAAAGATAGGTATAATTCTTAGGTATAGCAAAGTGTTTGAAACCATATTGAGTTGCAAGGCTTGTATTCCTTCAATAATGTCAACACATTAAATTCTTGAATAACTTTTAGCGGTCTCTTTATGAGACATAAAACTATAGACTATTTTGATCCAACGTTTGTTTACCTCATGTTTTTATAGTGCATTCTTGTTTTGTGGTCGTTTTTTTTTTGCCCAATCGCCTTGTAGCCCTTTTATAGTGTCCTTTCATTTTTAGCCTTTTCATATTACTCTTTTGTTTTGTCGCCCTTTTATACTGCCTTTTTGTAGCCCTTTGTTTAGTAGGCCTCAAAAGTGTCCTTTTGTTCTGTCGCCCTTTAAACTGCCTTTTTGGTAGGCCTTTAAAGTGTCCTTTTGTTCTGTCGCCCTATATGCTGCCTTTTTGTTATAGTGCCCTTTGTTTAATAGACTTTAAGGGTGTCTTTTTGTTCTGTCGCCCCTTTATACTTCCTTTCTGGTAGGCATTGAAAGTGTCATTTTCTTGTGTAGCCCTTTATACTGCCTTTTTGTAGCCCTTTATATTGTTCTTTGCCTTTGCAGTTCTTTATAGTGCAATATTTTCAGCCCTTTCTACCACCTTGTTGTTTGCAACCCCTCTGTAGTACCCTTTTGTTTGTAGCCCCTAATAATGCATTTTTGTAGCCCTTTATAGTGTCTTTGTTTGTAGCACTTTATATTGCCATTTTGTGGTCCTTCGTTATACCCTTTTGTTTTGTAGCCCTTATAACAACTTTTTGTAGCCCTTTATAGTGCTTTCTCGCTTTGTAGCCTTTCCTGCGGCATTTTATGTATGGTATTAAAAAAATTTGAAAGTGTCGATAACGTATGCTATTGTTATGGTGGTGCCTGAAACAATTGCAGTTGTGTCTGAATTGAATCGACAATACAAATTCTTTGTGAGAAATTTGTTAAAAATGTAATTAAAGCTATACTTATTCTTTTTGGCACAACTATGTGTCTTTTTCTAATGCTTGTTAACTATTTTAATACACTATTTCTCATGATAATTTTACATTTAAATATTTATAATTTTTGGATAAACTGTGGCAAACCTCCATGAAAAATTAGTGTGATGCAGGAAACACCTGAAAATAATTAATTAATTTGTTGAACTCACTGTTTAAAAAGCTAATTAATTAATTAATTAGCACAATATCAAAACCTAAAAAAAACTTTAAAATTAAGGGACATGTTAGAGGTCTTAGATTAATTATGTCAACAAAATGGGGATAGGGAGAGTATGACAATTGTTTGACAAGACGGAGGGGTAGTTCAAGATAAATTGACGTCAACAATGTTATTTTATTACGATAAATTTACTAATAAAAAAATAAATTAGTCTCGACTTTTTTTCAGGAATTCAACGTGTTATAGTCAATTTGAAATCTGTTAAACAAGTAAGAAAATGTATTAAAATTTATTTGTAGATCTTAATTTCCATAATTCTAATTTTTAGCATAAAAGCCAGCCGTATAAAATATTGTTAGTTTGTATGGGAAGGGTAAACAAATTGACATAATTTTATTAGGGAGGTCACTGAAAGTTTGACAGTTGTTGACAAGGGGGTTAAAGGTGTAATAAAATTGCCAAAAAATGTTGACATAATTAACGGACGTCCCCTTAAATGGATACTTGAGGAAATGCATAAAACAAAGTCTATACGAAAAATATGTAAATGTTTATCATTTTGTCTTACTCTCTAAAAATTTTCAAACCGTTCATGTGGCTTAGTGGTTAAAGCGTCCGCCTCGGATGCGGAAGGTCGTAGGTTCGAAGTCCGGCCTAGTAATACCAAAACTGTTACTAACAGCTGCCTCGCTAGGCGCACATAATTTAGAGGTTAGTGTTATGACTGGTTGACATTGTGTCAGGATAATGTGACTCGGTAGGACATTATGCTACATGTTTGTTTCATGATGCCCAAGTGCTAGACATCACTATAAACTATCTTACGGCAGACATACTAGCGATATGACTGAAATTGTTTTAAAACTACGTTAAAAATTCTAGATCACACACACACACACACACACACACACACACACACACACATTTTCAATGGATCATATATGTCTTGACTATTTTTGGAGTCATTTTGTTAGTATCGAAGGTATTGTATAAACTAATGACATATCTGACCCAAAATAGTTTCCGGTTATAAATTTGGGTACAATTATTTAAATAAGTTATGGTAACTCAGTGACATGTGTAATTTTTTTAATTTGTGCAACATGCGCTTTGATGTCTATGCAACTTACCTTAATGCAATTAAGCATATTTTCCTATTTTTAAACGTCTTGATTTCCTTTTCATTAGATGGAAAATAAATGTATGTGTGTGTGTGTGTGTGTGTGTGTGTGTGTGTGTGTGTGTGTGAATGTGTGTGAGTGAGTATGCTCCGCAATGTTTGTGTCCCACGCTTCTCCACAATGCAATTTTGTTGCTTGGGGCCCCGCTCTCATTGCTTGCTGCCGTGGGCCCCACACATCCTAATGCCGAACCTTCCCACGACCTTCCGCATCCGACGCGGACGCATTATCCACTAGGCCAGTGGAGCGGCCAGTGTGCCACATGTAAGTACTTACGACGTACTATACTTAGATGATAATTTTCAATTCAATTGAAGTTTATTCATGTTTTTCCGTGTTTTTAAAATGGTGTTCTATTTCTTTTAATACATAAAAAGGTGGATAGTACTAATTTGAAAAATGAAATATGAGGATAATACTAATTTAAATAATGTGAATTCAGCTTTGATAAAAACAGTTTTTTTAAAATATAATGCCTTCATAGCGGATTGATAGAAATACATGGGCGCCAGTGCGGATAATTTTCAAAGGTAAATCTCTTGGCTTACACCAGAAACAGATGTAGAAAATTAAAGAGAAAATACATGCAGAGAACCAGCCATATGTTTTGTAATGGTAAGAGTTACCTAAAACCACTTTTAACTCTTTTCTATTTAGCTGTATTTCCTCCGTTATTTAATATAGGATTAAATGATCATGGTTGGGATTTTATTGACGTGTAAACTTTACTTAATCACTCACAAAGTAAATTATGTAAACTTTGTGAGTGATTAGGTAAAATTTACACATCGATAAATTGTTACTTATATGTAATTGATGTACTTGTGTGCAAGTTTTAAATTTTTTGTTTTATTTATATTTCATTGCAATTAAATTGTCTTTTGTTTCTTCAGATAATCGATTTCAGTTATTTTAGTATGATTAAAAGCAGTAATGCTGCTACATTGAATTTTTAGCCGGCCTAGCTACTGACCTTGGTTTAGAATTCGTAAACACGGAGTGAAAAACATTGTTTGTAATCAAGGTCATTCTTGGCTTGCGTCAGATCTGTTGTAAACAGCCTTTCTTTTAATATTTGTTTATTATTGAATTTCGTTCAGTACAATGGAATCTGTAAATAGTCTACGTGCTAATTGACATATGAATTTACTGAATTTTTTCGAATTAAGCGACCACGTGACCCCGTCAAGTAATCTAAGTTGCGCTAAAATGTAACGTTTTTAGTGTTTTCAGTCAGTCGTATTTTACACCTTTAGGGCTCAATTTGTTTACAATTTTGATGCCAGTTTTATATAAAAATCTTCTATTTAATGAATTTAATAATTTATATTCCCGGGAAAATACCAGTGCTCATAATAATTCGTGGACAAAGACATTTATTGAAAATTATTCGGAACTCTAAAACCAGAATATTATTCTTGATTTATAACATTCAACAAGGAATTGTTGACTGAATTGTTGACACATCAGTACAATAATGCATTCATCTGACGTTATCGTCCTACATCTTGGAACTTCGTCGGGATTCGAAATTTGACTCATTTACAACTTTTGTTGTGATAGGACTTATAGTTTAAATTCTAGGATTAATATTTGGATTATATTCCCAAACCGTACGTCCTTTTTCATATTTTACCTTGTTTTCTAAGGAAAAAATATTTTGTTGAATTTTACAAAACTTGTTGGCTTTACTCTTTTCTTTGTTACTTTGTACGAGCCAAGACACGTGACAAAATACCCAACCATGATCATTTAATCCTCATAATTCCATTTTACCTTCTTTCTAACATCAGATTTGCAGATTTGGTTAAGAAGACATTCACTTTTATGTACTTCGCTTACTTTCATTCGCCTTTTAACTGCGATAGAATACACAGTCCTCTCTTATCCAGCCAAGATTCTTTAATTCTTTATACAGTGATACGGTGTAGAATGTCATACCGGGTCATGCCATTAATATATTGTTATGATCATTATTTTAATATATAAAAAAATGGTTTTTGTGGTTTAACCGGTAATATTTCTTTTATTTTCGAAAATTACGCTTGCATATGGCACGTGTTGTTATAGCAACGTCGTTGTTACTTTCTGCGCATTTCGATCTTTCAAAAGTAAAATCGTGTCCAGTTTTAGTAATATCTCCTGGTTGACATGTACATGACCTTTAATAACTGCTGCTGTACCATGTTGTCGAGGTGAAACAATAATTTCCAAAGATTGGCTTCTAAAGCCTGCCATATTCCTTCTTCTGCAATAGGGGATGGTGTTGGAGTGCAGGAAGGTCTGTGCAATTACATTGTTTTAACTTCTAATGGTCGAATTTAATCTGTAGATTGTCATTTTTGATCGGAAATCACAGGAGTGGATGGGTTGGAGCTTGTTGTTATTATTAGGGTGTAATGCGTTGATATAAGTAAAACTTCACACCAGATGATCTGGACACAGGAAACCAAAATTAGTCCGCAGAAGTTTTCCATGTGTAAAAAATTCCACATCAGTATCACGTGATCGTTTACATCCAAATAAAACGTAGAAAACGCAGTCAATTCATAAAAATTGGAATTATTGACCGTATAACCTAACTTTGTACTTGTAAATATAATTCAAAATGAAAATAATACATATTTTATTTTTGAACGTAGTGAAGTTAGTAAGGGTAATGCCATGTTTGGTCGGCTTGTTACATTTCAAACCATTATCATATGTCCCTATCTGTTGATTCAACTTTGAACTTGATGAACGTCAAGGAACTATAAACAACCAAAACAAAAACTATATAGGGCGCATTGTAGTTTCCATAAATTAATAGCGAAACAGGCCGTTTAGGGCCTAGACACGGTACTTAAATACGTTGGTTGATTGTATTCTTTTACATTATTGGTTTCACTTTGCATTGGATATTCTGTCGGAATGTGTTTCTTTATTTATTTTTTTGGAAAAGAGAAATATTAGACTTTTCTCAGTCGTTTTGCGCCACTTATGCTACAATCGTCTTTTGTTTTGAACATGACGTCATCACCCTATACTTGCCAATCGACCAGTTTATATTAAGATAGATCCTCATCAATTTCATTAAAAAAAACAACTCTTTGGCACTCATAAGACAGTCTCCACCAGACCTAGAACGAACTGGTTCTACATTCTTGTTTAATTAAATGTAAAAAGGCAGCGAAAAAAAAAATGGTTCAAAAACCGGCCAGGAAAAGAACCGGAAGCAAATTCAAGTTATTTCCATTTCACCTTTTCCTTCACAATATTGTAAAAACTCAGCCGTTAATTTAAAAACTTAATTCGAATTCCTTTTAAATCGTCAACCCTCAAGTCAATCAACCACTGTTCATTGCATTTTTGCAACGTCCAATCAGTAGGACCACCGGAAAGGCGCACTGAAATAGTTAACTTTATCAACTATCAGGATATTGACGTCTTTTTCTAACAGAAACATGGCTAAAAGAAATCAAGCCCGTGGAGGTGGAATTGCTTTCATTAAAGGACCTCTGTAATTCACCGTCTTAACTACGCTACAGCTTTTAATTTCGAACACATCGTTTGAACTGGTCACAACCTTACTCATAACGGAACAAAGTTAATTCCAGTTTGTTTTTATGTTCTGCTTATACCCCCCCTCCTCCCAGTAATCGCTTCTTCCCCAAGATGACTGAATCGCTATTTTCAGAGCAGTTCCCTAATATTCAGGTGTATGGAATTTCGATCTGGTGGCAACCTGATTATTCGTGGAGATTTCAACTTTTAGTTTGACTGTCCAGGAACCCAAACACATCAAAACTGATAGATTCTATTTCAATGTAAACTTCAAAAAGTCAGTTAGCCAACCCACTCATAAATATGGGCACATTTTAATCTGGATTCTTCGTATAAGTTATGATAATATTCTGCAAACTTCACTGGTGTTCCATGAACTCACCTCTTCGTTGTATGCCATATGAACGTATCAGTCCCCAACCAACATCGCTGTTTCCTACCAAGTGAAACTTCCGTATGATTAATAGAACCCAACTAATGCATAACATCCAAGCAAATCCAAGCAAATCTAAGAACTTCGTTACCTCGTATTAGTGCAACTTGACAAATGCTTGCGTTTATTGCATGACAAATGTGCTCCGGCAACCAAATACAGAGTACAAGTTCAAACGTGTTGTCCGTAGTATAGTAGGTTAGGGAACAGTTTCGCATTACGAAAAGAGAATGTTATACAGCTGAAAGGATTGGCTTTCCCCCAGCCTCACTATTCATAAGAAGATTTATGAAACTGTTAAGAAGAATGTTACAAACAATAGTTCATGCAATAAAATCAGCCTACACCGTAATATGTTCACTGAAAAGTCCAGCTATTTAAAGCAGATCAAAATTACAAACTAGCTGAAGTCAAAGAATTAATGTATTCCACTTTCAGGGACTTTCTCTCTGCTATTAAAACACTTTTGCATTTCTTAGTACTTTCAAGACTTGACTATTGTAATTCGCTTCTGTGGTTTTCGTCTCAACATCTATTACAGAATATTCAAAAAGTTTTAAACATGGCTGCTTATTTAATTCTTTTAGTACGATGAAATGAGCTTACCTCCCCTTGATATGTAACCTTCACTAGCTAACCTTTTGATCCAATATACCCATTTGACCTCACTCATGTGTATACCCCATTTAAAATCTTACGCTCCTCTATCTGCACTTGCATTTTTATTATTCACACTGTAAAATAAAGTCCTACGGATAAAGTTCTTTGGAGTACCAGGCCCCAGCTATGTGGAATAAGTTGCCCATAAATCGTACATATAAGGAAACTGTGATCTTATTCACGAGTGCTCTTAAAACTCACTCGACTACATGAATTAGTGTTTACTTCCTTAATTATCGTCAGCATGATTTTGCTTTGTAATTTCATATTGTTTGTTTTTGTAATCATGTGTTATCTAATAATGTCATCTCATTGATTTGTTTTTATGTTGCAATCTCCTTGGTTTTTTTTCTTTTTAACCACTATTTCGATAACAATTTTGATCTTCGTTTTACCACAATTTTGATCATTTTTTTATCTTTCTTGTCACTTTTTCGATAATGATATTTTGATATTGATCTTTTTATCTGATTTATTATCATTATTTCTATAATGATTTTGTTTTCTTTTTTTACCGCTGTTTCGATAACATTGCATTGCATTGTTGTATTTATCAGCTACCTGTGTAATTGTGTTGATGGTTATAGCAAGGTATATAACCTTCGATAAATAAAATTACTTTTGTCCGAAATGAAATAAAGAAAAATATAAGTAAGTATCAGAGTCAAACAACTGTTGTATCAAAGTCAAACATTAGAAGTATTAAACTCAAAGATCAGTTTAGGGGCCCCGAGTGGCCTAGTGGTTTAAAGCGCTGTCCGTTACGGATCACTGCCATCTCACCTCTGTCTGCGTGTGTTCGAATCTAGGATTCGGCGAATGTGGATAGGTGAGAAAGCTTGTCAGTAGCTTCTGGTGGATCGGTTGTTCTTTCCGGTGATTTCCCGGTTTCTTCCTCCACCATTATTACTGGCCGCCATGAATAGCCTATCGTGTGCTGAAAAATGGCGTTAAGCCCAACAACAACAAAAAAAAAAAGATCAGTTGTAGCAATGTGTACCATTGTCTTATCTCATAAGCAAATCTACGACTTAATTCTTTTGTTATTAAGCAACCGTTTTTGTCTGGTCTTTCTATTGGTATCTAAATTCTAAACACAATATTGTTTGTTTCGGTTGGGATTATATGTGATGTGATTATGATTTTCAACGTAGCTCTAACAATGTTTCAGTCATATCGCTACGATGTCTGCAGTGTGGAAGTTTATAGTGATGTTTAGCACTGGGGCATCATGCCGCAGACATGTAGTATGATGTCCCAGCTAGTCACATTATCCTTACACCAGGCCGACCAGTCTTAACACTAACCTCTTAATGCCGAGCGTCAAGAGAGGCAGCTGTTAGTACAATTTTTTAAGTTTTTTGTATGACTCGACCGGGGATCGAACCCACGACCTCCCGCATTTGAGGCGGACGCTCTAACCACTATACCACCGGATCGGTTGATGTTTGTTTCTAAGGCTATACCTACATTGATTATGCGCCATCTTGTTTTTCCAAAAATTATTCCCGGATAAGAAAAAGAATACTAACGCATGACATACGTTGGATATGGAAATTCTACATTCCGGAAAATTTCGTTTCTGCCTACATATTCTGATCCTTGTGTGCATATGATTGGTTGTGTTATTTACTTGTGTTCTAAAATACTAATATGAAGTATGTAAAACCCATTAGCGAGAGAAGCTTGCTTAACATTTGTACGTGTGTGCTCTGACAGATGTCACGTGACGTTATGGAATTGTGACACATATTGCCTCGTGCGGGTTCTTTGTAATGTACCGGATTTCGAGCAAATATTTGTATTGCTGTTGTCGTTCAATTTAAAATTATAATACGAATATTATAGATATTTAATTGTGAATAATCCTCATGACCAAAAAGTCATTCGGCGAAAAACGTTACGAAACATTTAGGTGGCGCTCACCAGTTATTATGTATTTTTGAGAGAGAGATATATGTAAGGTGAAGTTGTTTGCATTTTAAACATGCACAGTGGAGAGAATGTTGGCATACCTATATACTACTTTCATGTAATATGGATGAAATTTCTTTGGATATTGTACTTTTGGAAATTTAAATGATCTTAGGACACTACTAACTAAAATGACTGCTCCCATGTGCTCTAAAAATCAACCTAAACTTGTCTAAAGTACACTATTCTTGGCAGCTATTAAAATATGGAAAATGAATTTTACCAAAATAGATAATACCAGCTTCTAAAAGTGCAAAGACTGAATTACCAAATACATAAAATGTAAAAAAAAGTTATCGGCTCTTTTTTTACAATTTACCTCTGAAGTTCGAGAAGTGAAAATGATCAAGTAGAGCTAGCACTTTTTTTAAAGATGCACATCTGGAGTAAGGCCAAGCTGTGTGCTCTCTAACCCATAATTACACCCATCAATCATACATCAAAATAAAGGGAATTAAAGGTTATTTGAACAATACCTAAGATATACAAAGTCTCTTTTAAATAACCACTATAACTAGTGAGGAAAGCCGGGGAAACTCTTTTTCTTTAAAATTTTAACCCTATGCTAAATACGAAACTGTAGAGCGCCACCTTACTCTTCTTTCAACGTTCTTTTCCGCAATGAAGCATACGCATGATTGTGTTAGAGACTTATGCCCTTCCGTATCCGGGGCATCTTGGTAAATTAATCTGCATAGGAATTGTATTGGAAGTACAACGACGTGCGAAGAATTCCATAAGCGAGATAATGTGCGTAAAATTGTTACATTTTTGACATCAGTGAGCAAACTAGTGACGAAGATAATGATTATGCCACAAGTAAGAGTTAATCTAGCAATGAGAAAATTTATATAAAAATATACATTTATAATATTATTATAGTACACAGCTCCGGTAGCTTAGTGGTTAGAGCGTCCGACTAGGATACTGGAGGTCGCGGGCTCGCACCCAGGCCGAGTCATACCAAAGGCTTTTAAAAATGGTACCAACAGTTACGTCAAAAATCCATCTCTCTCTCTCTCTCTCTCTCTCACACACACACACACACACACACACACACACACACACACATATTGATATAACAGTGACTTCCACACTCAAGAACTTTCAGAGGTATTACCAATTGTACTAAACCGCTCCTGTGGCCTAGTGGTTAGAGCGTCCGCCTCGGATGCGGAAGGTTGTGGTTTGACGTTGCTAGACGAGTTGCATAGTCAACATTAACAGTGTGTGTTCCTGCTTTAATCACTTTTCTGACCTCAGAATCATGTTTGTTGCCGTCAAACGATTTTTGGAACCGAATCAACAGTGTCAATTCTCGCGGTCGCCACAGACTCAAACCAGGTCTTACTTTTCAGGGAAATCGTACATAAAAACCCAACATGGCCTTATCGGAAACAAAACACGTGTTCGTGGCGTTTGAAAGGGAAGCACGTGCTTCTGGCAAAACTTATATTATGATGTCATTTGAACGGCAGTTAGTGCTTGACGTTTTTATGTTGTTAATGGGTAATCAATATCTCACCGACGAAATTTTGCTTAACTTCACAGACAATTAAGTTGCACGTGTACATTACAAGTTGTGGTCATTCATGGATTGGCATAAACAGATTAACATAGGTCTGCAGATTTTCGAGAACGAAGTTCGTGCGTTGTGTCATATGAACACATGGAGTCTTCTAAGTAGTCAGTATTCCATATGTACTTTTATGCATTTGTTACAGACATGGCTGCTCTCTCTCTCTCTGTTATCGCTAAATATAAATGCATTGCTGTGTCGTCCTCTGTGATAGGCTTCTGTTGTGGAAGCACACGGATGGATGAAAATAAAGGGTCATGAACCGCCAATAGAAACTTCATAAGTAGTAAATGAACCTGTTACATTTCCGAATAATCATGTCCATTCATTAGGTAAAGGTTCTTCTTTGCTCAACACAGATTGCAATAATATAGAGCGCAATATAAAATGTTTGCGGTGTCACTTGGAATCTTTCTTTGACAAACTTAACTGAAATTATTCTCATGTGGTTGACCCAAATGCAATCTAATAAGCTCGATTGAGGAAATTCGAAACAACAGCTCGGCGACATCCATTATTATTATTATTATTATTATTATTATTATTATTATTATTATTATTATTATTATTATTATTATTATTACTCTCATCGTCATCGTCGTCATCGTCATCATCATCATCATCCAAGCCAGAGTTGGCACAAATGCAAAAACTGGTGGAATATTTCCATTCCTTGTGGCTATTCCAGCATCGTTGGCAGTCGTGGATCTCCTGGTTGGAAAGGTGGCTGTATTTAGAGTCGTCGAAATTGCAACCGGAATGGCTCTGAAAAATTCGTGTGTGGAATAAAAGCAAAGGATCTTCGATTTTCCTGGAACACTCACATAATCTCATTCTGGCAGATGTCCTTGACCACCATGCACGGTTCATAAAAGTCTGCGCGTTCATTTACCGGTCTTGATTTATTCGCTATTGAAAAATCCGTCAAGCATTTCCGAGATCACTTTATGCATCAGCGATCCCATGCGCAAGGGAAAAGTGCATCGTCAATCTGGATTCGACAAACTGGCACTCACTGGCTCACAAACGGATTCGCTCTCAATTATACTTTCTGTATAGTCTATACATTTGTTTCTCAGTAATGAACTTTCCATTGTGTCCAGATCATAATAACTCACGTGTTAATCTAAAACATTTTCAAAGAAGAATTCATCGCTAAGTTCATTGTTAAGGTTATCAGGTATTTATATGACATGATTGACTGTACACATAGTAACATGCAATGAATCTTAGATTTCACTTCATGGCCACCGTTAATACCTCATTAATCACTGTACGCTTTCACAGAATTTCATACAGATATCCACACTATAATGCCCAAATTCTGAAGAATAAGCAATTACCCTTAAATCAACACCGGTTGGTTGGCTTCCGTTAGTCTCGATAGACGATGTAAATGCGCCCATGAAAGGTGTCCCAGTTTGTAGTTGTACAGCGTCTTCTGTGACTATAAAGCCCCACACGGGAGTGGCAATCCTTACTACAGTTGCTGCACTTGAAGTTTGAGTCAGGTCTTGGTTGGAACTGCATCCTCTTCCTCTGAGATCTTTTCCCATCGGCGAGCTGTCGTAACTTTTCCTCGCTGTGAACAGAGCATGTATCCAGCTGGACTTGTCGAGGGCAAGCTCTTCCCAGGTGTTGACCTCGATCCCAAGAGCTTTCATATCCTGCTTGCAGACATCCTTGAAGCGAAGATGTGGCCATCCGATTGATCTTCTGCCTGAGGAAAGCATAGAGTAGAGAAGATCTTTGGGGATCCGTCCATCATCCATTCGACGCACATGGCCCAACCATCTGATGCGGCGTTGGCGGAGTGTGACTATGCTGAGAATTTTGGCTTGTTGAAGCGCCTCGTTGTTTGTCACACGATCGCTCCAGGTGATCCTGAGTATGCGACGGAGACAACGCATGTAAAAGGCACTCCAGAGAGGCGTACAGGGTCCAAGTTTCGCTGGCGTACAGGAGAGTGCTAAGCACGCAGGCACGGTACATGTGTCAGCACCAAGAACGTCTAAATCTAACTCTTATATCACCCCCTAGATGAGAGAGAATAAAATGCTATAATAATAGTCTGTCGAAAAAATCGTGGGTACCTGTCCTGAAGTAATGTGACCTGAGTTCATACGTGGTAACGTGTAACTATCGTTAATATCTTGACTGGTACTGGTTTGTACTGCCACTTGAAGTTGTTTGTTATTTAACTCGAGGCGGTGCATGGCAACCTGTTTTATTCGTCTCTGCCTTTGCAAACTCGGCAAATGAGCTAGTATATAGACATCTTGTTGTTAAAGCGTCGCGTGCATATAAGTGTTCACACCAACACCACTATTATTGATTGATTTTGCCTTATTAATGAGAGAGCATGCTTCATAGTATACGAAATGCCTACGAATATTTACTGACGTTACTCAGTCGGCCGCGACGATGATGTGGGTTTATACAGGGTTTCTAATGAAGGGGATTTAACTGAGTTTGCCAACCGAGTTGTTGTTGACGTCGATCCGGGCAGGACTTCTAAAATTTATCTGGAAACTCTAGAACTTCTAAAGTGAACATTCAAGGTGTTTATTTCAAGTTGGTAGGTGCTGTTGCAAAGAATCTATCCGAAATCAACAAAATAATATGAATAAAATTCTCTAGCATGCCGACACAAATCCCGGCTGCAAGTTAAAAAGTCGGTAAAATGAGTGGAAATATGACTGATTGAAGAGGCCACCAATGTTGGTGCAAGACATCACGTGACACCTACGATTGCATAGTTACATTTACCACCTTCGTTTGTAACAGCACGGGGACAGGTGTGATCTTTTGAAGGGACGAATAGAAACCACCCTCTGAGAACACCCTGATGTACCAATACCAACTCAAAGCCATCTTGGAATCATGAATTAGCACGGAAAAACGCTCAGTCGATGACTACACCACCAGGTGTGAAAGCACTGAGAGATTGTTTCTATAACGAGTAAGTTGAGATCACAAACAATTCCACCCCGGTTGCAACCCTCGTGGATTAACTCAACCAAGAAGACAGAAATCTGGATTATTATTGAAAAAGAACGCACTTGTCCGTGTAACAGTTTCTGGGTGAAGACAACAACGGTTTCATAAAATACTCAATGGCGTAAACAGTATAGTTCTATACGAACTTAATGGCATTCACCAAGAACGCGCACTCGTCGGAAATTTAAATATTTCCCGGAACCTTATCGTTTATGATTGTATGAGAGTTGTGCCAACAGAAAAGAATTATTCGTTAGAGGTACGTGTGCGTGCTACACCTAAATGGTCAGTCGGCGGAGTAATTATACCTACGATTACACTATTAGTAGAAGAGCTATGATACACCCTCAAAGTTACTGATGCGAAAAAATAATTGAAGCGGAAGAACAGCTGCGAAATGAAATCACCAAAAGAACCACTGTAATGAAATACAAACATGTGTGTTGTTGTAGATGCAATTTTCAGAATCGCTGCAGCAACCACTGCTGGACTTGGGGTGACGGGAGTCTCTGCCACAGCAACTATTATAGACACTAATCGGAAATGTTGCTGGGGTCATATTAGTAGTAACCGGTGCGATTTGCGGCGGCAGTAATACAATATTTTCGGCACGGCACCCCGCATATATGTGTATTGAGAACTTCTCGTGACTGCACAAATCAGTCTCAAGACAATTATCAAGCTATATTCGATGGTTGTTGAGGATATAGAGATTAGTATGACTGACTTAGTCACTGCGGTTGGGTGGGTGGGTGGGGACTTTTTTCTAGATCATTAACAACTTCTTAAACCTTCATTAACATACTACTCCCTGTCGTCTAAGAAATTTCCCTGGCTCTGGTAGTGTCACGGCACATTTTTATATCCTAACGTGTTGCTACGCAAGGACTCATTCGCGCACCTGTACAGACGGTTTAGATCTACTCCATTACAAGGCACCTGCACAAAAATCGGAGTATTTCTACATAGACTTTTTGATTAATAGTATTCCCTTAAAGCCAGGCCATTTGAAGGCCGCCATGCTAATGGAAGTAGTTTTTCAGTGTATGAACAGCATGCAATAGAGTGAATTGATAATGGCACTAATTTGATAATCAAAACGAGAATATGAGTAGATATACATGAGGAGTACTTTGAGACGATGCAATGACGTACTGTTCACTAATACAGAACTCTTGTATGCATAACATTCAGAACTTTTCAAATGATTCTCGTATACTCGCTATCTAAGAAGCTCGCAAGGCAAACGTTACCAAAGTCCCCTTTCAAACTGGGTTTGCTAACATTAAATGGCAGGATTGGTATTTACAAAATTAGTATGTCATCATAAACACTAAAACGTATGGGTCTTTCTTAATAAATATTTCAATTATTCCCCTTCATAAATATCTCGGCCAACGCGTCTCAGCATAAATATATACTCTAAAGTGTCTCTGTATAAATATGTCCGTTAAAGCGAACAAATATCTCAGCTAAAGAGTGTGAGAATAATTATCGTAGCTGGTAAAAACCGACATCTTTGATGTATGATGCTTAAGCAGGTTGCAAACAATTCGGCGGCTTCTGGTAATATCGTTCTTCAAACGGTACAGTTCTCCAATACACATTATCTAGAATTTTTTAAATTTTAAA